GACAAGCTTTTCAGCACAGCGTCACAGATCATTCTCATGAATATCGAAGCCCGCAACGCCGGCCGATCTTCCGTGACGACGAGCGGCACCCAGCCCAAGCCAAAGGTGGCTTGCATTATTTCTTCCGAGGCTGCAACACCAAACGAGGGTGAAGTGTTGGCAGCTGCCCGGGATGGTGGCCGACCGCGCAACAACCACGGCCGCGACAAGAGGAAGACTCAGTCCACCTCTACACCGAGCACCGGATCAGCCGCCGACGAACCTTGGGCGCAATACGGACTCTCGACGAATTCCTATCGCACGCAACTCAAGTACCGTTATTGCCTTTGGTGCAACARCACCATCCACGATGCTGCACATTGCCCCACCAAGGGGAAACCCCGTCCGAGAAAGTAGGCGCCACCGAGGGTGACTCGACACCTCCCTCGACGCCATCGGAAGCGGTTGTGCGCACGACCGCCCTTTCTTCCGAGGCATATGCGGATGTCGGGAGTCTTCCACTTTCGTTCGAAGACTTCGCTGCCCGTCTCGTTCCTTCACTAGATGCTTCTCAAGGACAAGATACATGTGCGACTTTCTCACCGTCCGAAGATTCTTCCGCTAGTTCGTCTTCATCAAGGGATTCGGCAAGCATGTTCAACGAGGAGGCTTTGGACCCGCTCACGCTCGAGGACTTCGCTTGGATTCCTCTCCCTACGACGGGCAACCTTCCGGGGCCGCAAAGCGCAGCCCTATGCGCCCTCTTACACGAGTATCTTTCCTTCCATGCACCACCAACTTCGCCGACGGTAGACGAAGTCGCGGTGGGGGACATGCTTGGCTATGTTGCCAAGGTGGTCCGCGAGTTTGTCTCGCAACGGTAAGAAGAAAACAACGCACCGTTGCTCTACGTTCGCATTCAGATTGGGCAAGCGGCCTGGACGCTTTGCTAGATTGCGGCGCAACTCGCAACTTCATCAGCCAATCCTTCATGACTCGGGCTGGCCTTGGCGCACAAGTACGGAGGAAGTCACATCCGACGACGGTCGCTCTTGCCGACGGTAAGACGAAACAGCTTTTGGACCGTTACATCTCGGCTGTCCCGGTGTACTTTGCACCGCATGCATGTGAACCCGTCACTTTTGAGGTGTTGGACACCGACTTCGATGTCATTTTGGGGATGCCTTGGCTTTCTAGCGCGGACCACACGGTCAATTTCCATCGACGCACGCTCACGATTCGTGATGCAACTGGCGCTGAGGTCCCGTGTACTATTCCTCCTCCTTGCTCTTCCATGCCAAGTCGTGAGTGCCAAATCTTTTCGAGACACATGCCGTTCCGAGCATGTCGAAGAGATTGGCATCGCTTTTCTTCGAACCGTCCCGACGACCGATTCATCGTCCATGGATGTGTCTTCCGACCCCCGTGTGACCCGGTTGTTAGACGAGTTCTCGGATGTTTTTGAGACACCCTCCGGTATAGTGCCGGACCGGCCAATCTCTCACGAGATCATACTTGAGGCCGGCGCCGTGCCACCGAAAGGATGCATTTATCGCATGTCCGAGGAGGAGATCGCGGTTCTCCGTGCGCAACTCGACGATCTACTTGACAAGGGTTGGATCCGCCCTAGCAGCTCACCTTACGGTGCGCCCGTTCTCTTCGTTCGGAGAACAAGGACCTTCGACTTTGCATTGACTACCGACGCCTCAACGCGCAAACCATCAAGAACGCGGGGCCTCTACCTCGCATTGACGATTTGCTTGAGCGGTTGGGCGACGCGAAGTACTTTTCGAAGTTGGACCTCAAGTCGGGCTACCATCAGATTTCCATCCGCCCGCAAGATCGGTACAAAACCTTTAAGACGCGATATGGGCATTTTGAGTGGGTAGTTATGCCTTTTGGCCTCACCAATGCCCCGGCCACCTTTCAGGCGGCCATGACCACCGAGTTTCGCGCTATGTTGGACCGCTACGTCTTGGTCTACTTAGACGACATCCTCGTCTATAGCCGAACTCTAAATGAGCATCTCAAGCACCTTCGCCGTATTCTAGAGACTCTTCGGTCAGCCCGGTACAAAGCTAATCGCGACAAATGCGAGTTTGTCCGGCAAGAGCTTGAATACTTGGGTCAYTTTGTCTCTCCGGAAGGCATTCATCCGTTGGCGGACAAGATTCAAGTCATCCAGGAGTGGCCCGAGCCGAAGAATGTGACGGACGCCCGATCCTTCCTCGGCTTGGCCGGTTATTATCAGCGTTTCATCAAGAGTTACTCGAAGATCGCAGCCAACCTAAGCAAGTTACAAAGCCTTTTGACTTCGACGGCGATGCGTGCCATTCTTTTGAAACACTCAAAGCGACACTCTTATCCGCCGAGGTGTTACATATTTACGACCCGCTTCTAGCTACGCGCGTCACTACCGATGCGTCGGGCTATGGCATTGGGGCCGTCCTTGAGCAGCACGAT